ATTCTCCGTCCGGCAAGAAAAGCTAAAAATCTTTAAAAATGTCCGGCTTTTCTTACATTTTATATTATAATTTTTAAGTATCGTATGTTTACGTTGTTTCAATGTACAAACTCTATGCATTTCTGCAAACCAGTCGATTTTAGTCATTATAACAAATTAGCATGAGAATGAGGCAAAGTGTACGATTTGCCATCAAAGGAGCTGCCGACTTGGAGCGCCATGTGGACAGTTAGAAACATAGAAACCTAACCCTTGTGTCCGCGTCATCGAACAAATTGACGTCTTTTTCCAGCTTAAGTATTTAACGGTGCTGCTGAAAGCACATGCGGATGAAGCAACTTTTGCAGTTCATACAGTTTGTCATCATCAATCTAACAACCCGATGACCTGCACAGCTGGTTTGATGCACAGCTGGTTTGATGCACACATTATTCGAAGATGCGGAAGTCACTAAAATATAGCTTGTGCAAAAACAAAGACTTGAGCAATAATTAAAGAGGTGATTGGCCCCCACACTGTTGATCAGTTGCGTAAATCTTTCGGTGGCATTTCACATTTTGGTCTTTCTACAGATGCTAGCAACTACGGTTCGCAGAAAATATTTCCGATCGTTGTTCAATACTTTGTCTGAAAGGCAGGTTGAATCCAAACTAAGATTCTCAATTTAGACAGTACACCAAATAAAACTTCAGAAACTATATCACAGTACATTTTGAGAATACTCCAAAAATATGATCTGTACTATAATAATTTTATGGCTGATGTTAAGTTAGTGTATGAAGCATGCATTAGTTGCTTAAAAAAGTGGTTGAAACCTTTTGATGAATTTCAATGCTTTATTAATTGGATGTATTTAGATAAAATCAAAGACAGTAAATTTGATGACATTTTGGCATGCATATTGTATCTGAAAGAGAAGGGTGTTATTGTATATAATGTGCAATTGTTTGAATAATACTGCAATCTTATCACATTTGAACAAGACAAAAATGAACAGTTTTTTAAAAGACTCTTCAATGAACAGTGCAGTTTATTTTTCGAAAGTTGTCCAAAATGCATGCTGCTTTTCAGAGTTTCTTAAAATTTATGAATTTTTCTTCTGTATCCCTGGACACAATGCCGATTTGGAAAGAGGGTTCTCTTTGATAAATGCTCAATGAACAAATGAAAGAAATAGACTCTTAATCAACTCTGTAAAGGTCATCATTCCTACAAAGTACAAGTTGAAGAATCTTTCCTGTGAACAGTTTTATTCATTTGTGATTGCTAACGAGGATCTTCTGCGAAAAGTTGGCTCCTCCGAGAAATATGCCATGCAATCTTTAATTGGCTATTTAAATGATGTTTTTTTACATTTTGAAAAAGGCGTCCATTGATTTTTTTAGCGTGACTGTTTCTTGGTCGATTCACTAAGAGTAATATACACTTAATTGGCAGCTACTACAAAAAAATTGTGCTGACTGTGACTTTAATCCGGGAAGACTCAAAAGAAACATTCAAAATGTCCTCCTTTGTCCTCTTTTTTGTTTTATCATGTCTTCCTTTTGGTGTCCACGAATCTTGCAACATTAGTCTCAAGGGACAGACAAATCCATTTTAAACGGATTCCTGCTATTACTGTAGAAATACTTGTAAATAATGAATACATTTCTAAGTGTTAAACCCCTTAACCGGGAATAAAAAAAACAAACTATTTTTATAATTGAAGCACAGAAGAGAAAAACAGCTCAGGGACAAGGAAAACGGTTAAACTTGCAAAATTAACGTCTTGGTTAAATCCAAACGAAATATCAGTTACTAGAACTGCTCCTCAAAATAAAGTAGCGTCATCTACATCCTCTATTTCAGGGGTCGGGAACCAATGGCTCGCTAGCCAGATATGGCTCTATTGATGGCTGCATCTGGCTCGCAGACAAATGTTTGATTATAAACTAGTCGCATTAACGGTAATAAATACTCATTATTGATTAGCAACAGCATGAAAATGTTATTAAAAAGAATTTAGAGACATAATTACTGCATTTTTAGTGTTGAAATTAAACAAAATGAACACATTTACTTGAACTTTAAATTTTAAACATAATATATGGCTCTCACAGAATCACTTTTAAAAATATGTGGACTCCATGGCTCTCTCAGAAAAAAAGGTTCCCGACCCCTGCTCTATTGGATCAAGCCATCGAGCTCCAGACAATAACATTACCTATTTTCTCTGTTGTGGAAATTGTAAAAGTTCAAACACACAAAGCTGTGTCAGAAAACGAGAGTGTGATTCACCACACAAATCCTGGGGAATGGAAAATTAAGAACATTTGTACAGTTGAGCACTGGATTCACCCCTGGCCATCATTTTGTCAGAATCATGACTTCAACCGTTCAATCTCAGGCAGAGCTGGAGAAGAAAGAACTAAGACAAGGTATTTATCAAGAAATATGTTCTAACGTGAAGTGCGGAATGGCGAGTGTTATAAACTCGAATAGCTTCTCTATTCACCACACCAAGATTGTTTGATTTATTTGCGTGTCGTCTATTGTACAAAAAAGTATTTCTCTATGCTATGTCCGGATTCAGTTAATGGAAACATAACAAATAATATTGCAGAACATAAAAATGGAAAATGTCGCAATGAATACATAGCGATAGAGGTTTACATATTTTAACTTTTGAAAGACATATGTATTTCAAATAATTATTCTCATTTGAAGATGTTTGTTGCAAAAATATTTGTTTTTTAAAAGGAAAATAAAGAAAAAATTAAATTAAATTAAAGAATGTTGAATTTTAAGTGAAAAGTATTTTTTTCCTTACATTTTTCATTTGAATGAAAACTTAAAAGCATCCACATTGGTAGGAAAAAACAACAAAACAAATAAAGAAACAAAAAAAAACAACAACATCAACACAGATACTTAGAGCTCCTTAAATTATTTATTTAAAAAAAATAATAAGATTCACATACACACCGAAAATTAAAAAAAAAATAATCAGAAATTTATTTTACGGACATCTAAAAAAAAAAAAAAAAAATTTAAATTTAGCTGAAAGGAGGAAAAATTTTGCCATTTTTATATACTTCCATACTTACATGACCAACAAAAAAAAAAAAAAAAAAAATACACAAACACCCACAAAATAAAAAAAAAAAAAATCAGAAATTTTTTTTACGGACATCTAAAAAAAAAAAAAAAAAAGATTTAAATTTAGCTGATAGGAGGACAACTTTTGCCATTTTTATATACTTCCATCCTTCCATGGCCAACAAAAAACAAACAAAAAAACAGACGAATTTTTACAAAGATAATGTCAATGATTGCGTCAGGTATGACATGATAACATTTGCATCTGGTAAGGTTACGATGTCATCAAACAGTGAGAGCTATAATCGAGTACTCAGAAAGTCTCAACGCATCGATCGTATCATTAAAATCTTACGATAGACAGGAAGATTATTCGTTTGAAGGCTATTGAAGATAATTTTAGAGAGAAAAAATCATATACTCTCCAACCTTTAGAGCTAAACAGACGATGGCGGCCTAAAGTGATATATTAAAAAAACATAATGACAATTTTAAAGATTGCCCCAAGCAGAGATGACACCGTTTGTGAATTTTACAAGAATTGGTGCTAGAGTCGAAAGAAATAATTGATTTGCTGGAAGTCCCAAGAGAAAAACCCTCGTACCGTAATATAGATGGCACTTTTAATAATATTTATATAAATGTCAAAATAATCAAACATGAATCAAGTGCCGGCCAGGATCCTGAGAGAGTATTGAAACAAGAAGGAAAATTAGAAGAAATGATTAAAATTTGAGATGATTTAAGTGAGGCTTGGAATGGAATAATGGGGGTGGGTGGGGGAGGGAATTGAGGGGGGGGGGTTGGGGGTAGGAGTTGTATTTCACATTGTATTTTAAAGAAACGTATTTTTCATTTTAGGGTTTAAAAAAAAAATTAAGCTCGTGTGACCTCTTTACATTACTCGGGCGACAGACGTTGAATCTCTCGGTCCAATTGTAAGAAAACAATTCTTCTGTAACAGGAATAGCGTCTCTCCGGGTACGTTTGTACGGTACGTCTGTCTCGGTGCGTTTGTCTTAGGCATGTCTGTCTTGTGCATACATGTTAAACTATAGCGAATACAAGCCGGATGGACGTTGTCTTACGAAATAGTTTACATAGTTTTAAAACAAGCAGCTGATTGTCTTGCATACGATTTTACATAGTTTAACTAGAATCGGCTTATTGTTAAATTATGGTAGGATTGTTTTGCACTTAATTCGGTTTCCACTTAGACCACACCATAACACCTTTGTACAATATTTCTGTTTGTGTTATTCTACAAGCTCGACTACGTTAGATGAGAAGTACATCACGTTTCAAAATAAACTAATCTGGATTAGGTTTATTTATAGTTATTTTAAAATCTAAATCTGGATTACTCTGGTTGGAGTAAAATGAGTAACCTAGAAATCCATGAGATTTATTATTTCAGTAATGAAGTAACGAAATAATTCATTTAAAAAAAAAAAAAAAGAAAAAAGAAGTAAGACTAAACTTGAGATAAAAATAAACATATAAAATCTAAATCTGGATTACTCTGGATGGAGTAAAATGAGTAACCTAGAAATCCATGAAATTTATTATTTCAGTAATGAAGTAACGAAATAATTCATTTAAAAAAAAAAAAAAAGAAAAAAGAAGTAAGACTAAACTTGAGATAAAAATAAACATATTTTAGCAGTTAAAGGTGTGACAAGGTTTTGTTTCATAACGTAAAGTTAGTATAAAATATGACTCAAATGATATTAGCAATAAAAATATTTTGCATATTAAAAAACACAACAATACAACCAAAAACAATTAATTCTGTGAGTAAAATTAGATTTTTTTTTCTCTTCTAAGGTAACAGAACAATTGGAGCCCTTGTATTTTATAAGCTCAGTATATAAAACCTGTAATCATAATAATAATAATATTCCCCCACTCCCCCAACGTACCAACTTCATCAGGTCGGTGGGGCTTCAATGCCTCTCATCAACCAGGTGTTTTTATAAAGCACAAGTTGGTGAAGACAGGACGCGCCGAATACCGGAATGGAGATGAACTCAACGACCCGCGGTGCCAACAACAGCGACACCAACAACAGGACAGCGCTGGGCACGGCCACGTCGGCTGGCGATTCGACGAATCTAAACGACCTCTCGAGCTTCGTGAACATCATGACCCTCTTCGTAACCCCGGCCGTGTGCGGCCTGGGCTTGATCGGAAACGTGATTAGCCTCTGCGTCCTCCTGTGCACCGGCCTCAAGAAGTCGTCCTACGTATTCCTGTTCGCGCTGACCTTCTCCGACAGCTGTTGGCTGTTGTACGCCCTGGACGCGTCGAGGCTTCTCTTCCTGTACGGATCCAGCCTCGGTTGGGTAGGCTGGGAATTTCCGCAAGAGGTCGCCTACGGGCTTTTCGTCATGAATCACGTCATAGAATTCGTCGCGAATCTCGGCGGCTACTGCTCAACAACGCTCCCCGTCGCCATTATGGCCGAGCGGTGCCTGGCCGTGTTCTACCCGTTAAAATTTCACCGCCTCGTGACGGCGAAGAGGGCCTGGATCGCCGTGCTGTGTGTTTGCCTCTTCTGGCTGCCGTGGTGTCTACACTCGGCGTTCCTCTACTCATTTTTCTACTTCCGCTACAGAGGTGTTAGCTTCGGTTTACCGTACTTATCTCCCTACTACATCAAGAACAGGAAGACCATAAACCTGCTGGACCAATACCTTTTCTCCTCCCTGGCGTCCTGGGTGCCCGTCATCCTGGTCATCGCCGGAGCGGTAGTCCTCGGGGTAAAGATCAAAATCTCACACCGGAAACGCCAGGGGCTTCTGTCGTCCACTTTCGCCGAGCCCCGAGTCATGACGACGAGAACAACTCGGACACTGGTCAGCGTGTCCGTGGTTTTCGCAGTCCTCTACGGGTACGGGCTTTTGACCCTCCTCATTAAGTTAAAGGGCATCGATGCCATTTCAGATGAAATTTTAACGCAGACTCGATTTCTAATGGTCGATATCAACAGCTCTATGAACTTCGTCATTTACCTGATGATGAACGGCAAGTTTCGTAAGCAACTCAAGCTGATTGTGACGTCAGTGCGATTGTTTTTCTCGAAGAGTTAAATACAATGTTTATTTCATAGCAAAAGCAAAAGTTAAAACAAAAGAAAACAATTGCAAGGTGCCCCCACCCCCCTATTCCCAAATTTACCAAAAAAATGAAAAAAGCAATATAGGTTATAAAATAAAACATTAAAACGTACACAGGAACACTCCCATTCCCACCCCCAAAGGTAAGGAAAAAAAATAAAAACAATACCAAAAATACCCAACAAAAAACAACTCAAAATTTAGAAATTTAGAGCCATAAATATAAATGCTTTAGGCTGACTTAAATGGTGTGCTAATGTGTCATCTTATTCATTCTTGAAAAGCTTTTTACAAAAAAATAAATAAAATACATGTCACTAGAAACTCCTAAAATATTCTTTCGCTCATTTTCAAGATAGGGTAGTTGATCGATCTTTCATTTTTTATTCACATACAAGTTGTTATAAAAGGTTTTAAAAAAAATATTATTATTGAAATGCACAGCATAACATTGATCCCCTCAAATCATTTGTGCAAGCACAAAATGTAAACCTTCTCCTACAAGTTGACTCGCCCTAGACATCAAAAACTCATTCCGAGTGTTGTTTTTTGTGTGTTTTTAAATCATTCCTTTCACCTAACCGTTTGTTTATGTTTCTTTATTTCTTTGGTGGCATCAAAATCTTCAGATGGCTACTTGCTCCATTTTCCACTATCCTAATCGAGCTGAAACCTGGCACATACCACCCCCCCCACTCCGACCCCCCATTCCCCCCCCAAAAAAAAAATCAGTTTTGGTTTTCGTGGTTTGTTGTGGAGATTAATTGTGTAGCTTTAGCTATGTGTTTTGCATGTGTGACATATTTGGGTCTGGGTGTGATCTATAAAGTATTTATACGAAAAACTTTGTTTCATTGTTTTTTTGTTTTTTTTTTTTTTGCTTTTTCAGGTGTCTAATTTTGTGGTCGTTTCAACAAAATCAAGTGATGCTTGGCCATGTTCAGTTGATTTAACTGCCATGACAACAATCCCCTTTTCCGTGATTTTGGAGCGAACTTAGTTGTCATAAGTAGTGCCAGTTAATGGGGGGGGGGGGGG